TACACATCCCTTTTACAAACTTCAGGGGACTATGAACCTCAAGCCTCAAAGTTTAGTCTTCTTTCTCCTTCTGAAATGCTAATTCCAAAGATCTCATCCACTCCCCAAACTACAGATACCATTTCACCTTCTTTTAAGATAAATGAGTTAAAAACTGGATACAAGAAAACAGAACAGACTCCAATTACGTCTTCGGACAACAGCCCTACTGATATGTCTAATTTAGCTCATCCGATAATTACGGACCACAAGGAAAGAAGATTTCTTTAAATCCCTCTGTTCGCCTTAAGGCAGAGAAACTGGAAACAGCNGCAATTCCTGTATACTAGAGGAATCCCTCATCAGGCAAGGATAGTTTCTGACCATTCATCTTCCGTCATACTATAACTTTTTAAAAGCTTTATACATGGTATCTTTTTTCCATTTGAAAGAGTCTATATTTTTCTTATATTTTAAAACTATCACAAACTTACAAAAACAAGGAGGTAGAATACAGAAAAATTATTCCTGAACTGTTTGACAGTTAGTTGTTATCGTCAGGCCCCTCACCCTTGAATATTTTAGTATTTTCTACAGAAAAGGACATTCCCTACATAGCCACATTAAGACCAATATAATGAAGAAATTTACACTGACACATAACTATCTAATCTTTAGAGCCCATTTCTTCTCACCAGCTGTCTCACTAATATTCTTTATAGAGAAAGTATCTATTATACTTCAGACTCACATATTAAACTTAGATGTCCAATCGCTTTCATCTCCTTCATTCTGAAACAGTTTCTCATCTGTTCCTTGACTTTCAGGACCTTAAGACTTTTGAAAAATTGCAACCTTATTATTTGAAATAATGTCTCTAAATACGAATTTGTTTGATATTCCCTTATGACTAGATTTAGGCTACACCTTTTGACAAGAATGTCACAGAAGTGTTCATGGTCTTTATGGCGTCCTATCAAGAAGTGAAAGGTTTTCCTTTGTACCATTATGATTGTGCTCACTTCAATCATTTGATTAATGTGGTGTCTGCCAAACTTCTGAAAAGATTTTTTTGCCCTTCTGTAAATGTGTTTTAAGGAAAAGCACTTTGAAAATATATAAATGTCATTAATTCATCAAACTTACAATTACTTTAATTTATTTACTCTTCTTTCTGTATGACTGGTGAAAAAAACCCCAGTTTGTTGAGAATTGAGGGGTTTCTCAGCACTCAAACTTTCGGTGCTAAAACTGGAACAACACTGGGTGTATGTTCATGTATATATCTTTATGTTGACAAATGTTTTCATTTGTATTGAGTAAATTTATTTGAAATAATGTCTCTAAATACGAATTTGTTTGAATATTGATTGACATAGAAATGAAATGGCCTAGAATTAATGGCAAGTCTATGTTTAATATTTTTGGAGACTTCTGAATATTTTTTAAAAGTATTTATACTATTTTATATTCCTACCAGCAATGGATTGCAGTTCTTGCAGTATCACACCCACTACAAACTTTATATAGACAATCCTTATAATTTTAGCCATTCTAATAAATGTGTAATGGTATCGGATTGTGATTTTGATTTTTATTTCACTGATGACAAGTGATGTTAAATACTGTTTCATGTTTTATTAGCCAACTTGCCTGTCTAGATATTTGTACTTTTTTAATGGGTTGTTTACTTTCTTATAATTAATTTTTAAAATTTCTTCATACACCTGGCTACATATATTATTTGCCACATATGTATTGAAACTGTTTACTCTTATTTGGTGGCTTCATTTTTGTTTCCTTAATAACATCTTTTGAAGATAAACCACTTCTGTTTTGCTATCTCCTATTTATCAATTTTTCAACTATTATTTCATTTTGTGTGTGTGTGTGTGTGTGTGTGTGTGTGTGTGTGTGATATTGAGATATCTTTGCCTATCCAAAGCAACAGAGTTTTTCTCTTATGTTTTCTTCAGGAAGTTTTATAATTTTAGCTTTTCAATTTAGGCTATGACCCTTTTGAAGGTAATTTTTGTGTATATTCATTTTTTCTCTCAAATGGATAATCAAATGGTTCCAGCACATTTTTTTGCAAAAACTTTCCTTTTATATTGAATTGACTTGACATTGCTCTATTGAAAATTAATTGAAAATATATGGGTGGGTCTATTTCTGGATTCTGTTCTGTTAATCTAATCTGCATGTCTGTTCTTTCACCAATACCAAACTGTTTTTGATGACTATGAATTTATATTATGCCTTGAAATTGGGTAGTGTAATCAGATAGCTATATGCTTCTATTTCCAAACCTCTTTGGTTCTTCTGGGTCATTTGGATTTCCATAAAATTTTAGAATCATTTTAATTAATTTCTCCCAAAATACCTGCTGCATTTTGACAGTTATTTTCTTGAATCCATATGCTAATTGATTTTCCCCAATATAAGAAGATATTTCAATTTTAGTGTTATTTTTAATATTTATTAAATTTATTGAGGCAACATTGGTTAGTAAAATTGTATAGGTTTCAAGTATAAAATTCCATAATACATCATCTGTATATTGCATTGTGTGTTCAACACCAAAAGTCAGTTCTCCTTCCATCACCCTATATTTTATCCCCTTTACCCTCATCTACCAACCACTTCCCCCCTTTCCCTCTAGCAACCATTAAACTGTTGTCTGTGTCTATGAATTTTTGTTTGTCTTGTTCGTTTATTGCTTTCAGTATTATATCCCACATGTCAGTGAAATCATATGGTTCTTGACTTTTTCTGTCTGACTTATTTCGCTTAGCATGATGATCTCAAGATCCATCCAAGTTGTCACATATAACAGTATTTCATCTTTTCTTATGGCTGAGTAATATTCCATTGTATCTATGTACTGTACCTTCTTTACCCAATCATCTATCAAAGGACACTGGTTGTTTCCATATCTTGGCCACCATGAATAATGCTACAATGAACATAGAGGTATATGCTTGTATATCTTTATGGGTAAATGTTTTTTTTGGTTTTTGTTTTTTGGGTTTTTTTAGAATAAAATATTTTATTATTAAAATAAAAACTTTGTATAAAAGCATTACAGGAGAAAAGCTCTATTTACATTTGATTCAAGGTCCAATTATGCATAAAACCGTGGGTACAGCAACAGGCTGCATATGCAAAGCAGAATGGACACTTGTATTTCACCTCTACCAAATGATTTAATGCAAAAAATGGGAGAGGGAGAGATGACATATGAATCTGCCCAGAAACTTTAATGGCAGGGATGTCAAGTTAACAAACTGGCAAGTCACCCATCTCCAAAAAGGCACTTCTCATTGTTCTACAAGTGCTTAAAACTTGAACACGAACCTATGCCTAGCTTATAGTTTCTTCCAGAAAGCAAAAGCTGCAAAGGATTGTAGACTAGTATTAGTATCAATTTTCCATGCAAAAATGCTCAAGAATTTATTTGGAATACCTTACACATTTATGAATTGAAATAAATCTGGCAAACTACCATTATACTATGGATTCAAATCAGTTTCTGAAGCCTCGCCATCCTAATTGCCTAGATGCCTTTTCTGCAATGACTTCTAGAGCTGCCTACAAACTTTTGGGTCCTGGACTGTGTGAGTCTGATGCACCATCCAACCTCACGGTGGAAGAAAATAGCAACTAAGTGTCAGCTCCAACAACCTATGTAACAAGCACAATACACGGAATATTCTCATAAGAGGCGTTATGGATAAATGTTTTCAGATTTTCTGGATAGATACCCAGCAAAGGGATTACTGGGTTACATGGTAATTCTGTTCTTAATTTTTTGAGGAACCTCCATATGTTTTCCATAGCGGCTGTACCAATTTACATTCCCACCAGCAGTGTTTGAGGGTTCCTTTTTCTCCACAGTCTCTGCAACACTTGTTATTACTTGTCTTGTTGATAATAGCCATTCTAACAGATGTGAGGTGGTATCTCATTGTGGTTTTGATTTGCATTTTCCTAATAGCAGTGAAGTTCAGCACCTTTTCATATGTCTGCCGGCCATTGGTATGTCGTCTTTGGAGAAGTGTGTGTTCTGGTCCTCGACTCATTTTTTAATTGGATTGTTTTGTTGTTGTTGTTGAGTTGTATGAGTTTATATATTTTGATATTAGTCTCATTGGAGGTGTTGTTTAGAATATCTTCTCCCATTACTCTTTGTTAATGCTTTTTTTTTTATTGTGCAGAAGCTTTCTAATTTGATATAGTCTCATTTATTTATTTTTGCTTTTACTTTCCTTGCCTTTGAGGTCAAATTCACAAAACTTTTGTGTTCTTTAACTTGATTCAGCAATGTGCCTTAATTTTAGTGTAACGATATTGCATTATTTCTGAGTATTTTTTTTTCTGTTGTGAAGGAAACTTTAAAACTTTATTTTTTAATTTTCTGGTAGTTTAAAAATTGTAATTTATTTTTTTACAAATGGAATATAAATATGGTAACTTTTAATGTTATTTTCTATTAATTATCTCTTTCATACCTGGGTCAGTTTGTATTTTTCTTATTAAAATCATGAGTCATACTATCTTTTTTTGGCCAGCCTGCTAATTTTTAATGGGATGCCAGGCAATTTGGATTTTTCTTCTTGGTGCTGGACATTTCTGTATGCTATAAATATTTTTGCATTTGTTTTATAATGCTGTTAATTTACTTGGCAACAACTTGACACTTTCAGATCTTGCATTTAAGCTTCTAGAGGGGACCAGAGCCTTATTTTGTCTATGACTTGTTTGTCCTCGCATCTGAAACAAAACCCTTGTGAGTACTCGAGTCAATGTCCCATGAAATACAAGGCTTTCTAATCTGGCTGTTGTGAACAGACATTATTCTTGGTAATTTGTGAGCTGGGATATTTTTTTCCTTTAATCCTTTTAGGTCACTCTTATTATTCTATTATCTGAAAATATGCTTACTTCATATTCATTCTTGAAAAATTTTTTCACACTGAATGTAGAATTTTAAATTGACACTTTTCTTTTTTTAATTTCAGCACTGCAGTGACATTGTTCCACCAGTTTTTTTCCTCCATGATATCTGATAAGAGGTAAGTGATCATTCTCTTTATGTTTTATATGTATGTAATTTATAATTTCTACAGGAATGCTTTTTTTTTAATTGCTCCTCCTTTCCCACAATCTTCCTACATTTTTCACTCACCTTAGCTCTCACTTAAGGTTTCCCCCAGGTTTTTATAATTGTTATTTGTGGTAGAGTCAGTTTATTAAGATTTGTATTCCATTACAAGTGCTACCTTTTCTATTGAGGCAGGGGATGAAAGAATGAAAGGGAGATGACATATTCAAAGTGTTAAAAAAAAAACAAAAAAACAAGGCTGTCAACCAATAATTCTATTCCACTAAAACATTCATTGAAAAATCAAAGAATAATTAAGCATTAACTTATAAACAAAAACTAAGAGAATCCATCGCTAGCAGATCTGTCTTAAAAGAAATACTAATGGGAGTCCTTCGGATGTTACTAAATGGACAATAGACAATAACTCACATCTTTGTGAAGAAATAAAGAACATGGTGAAGATATTTATTGATGACACAGTAAATATCAATGATGAAATAGATATAATTTTGTTTGAAACTGTCTTTTCTATTCTCTTTTAAAATGCAAATGAAGAAAGCAATAACTATAAACTATATTGGGGGACTTATGATGTGTAGAAATGTAATTGGTGTGACAATAATGTGACAGAGGAGGGTGGAAGCAAAGGAACTATTATGGAGCAAAGATTCTGTGTACTAATAAAAATTAAGTTGGTATTGAATGAGGTTTTAAACATAGATGTTGATTGGAATCTCAAAGGCAACTTCTAAATACATAACTCCAAAAATATAGAAAAGAAAAAACAAAGGAACTAAAATTGCATACTAGAAAGCATCTACTTAAAATAAAAGGTGGTAATTGAGAAACACATGATATGCAGGAAAAAATATAGCAAGATGGGAAATGTAAATCCTAACATATCATTTGTTTCATTAAATGTAAATAGATTGAACACTGACATCAAAAGTCAGGGATTGATAGAATTAGTTTTAAAAGAACCTGATTCACTGTATACCAGCGGTTCTCAACCTGTGGGTTGCGACCCCTTTGGGGGTAGAACAACCCTTTCACAGGGGTCACCGGGTACTTGTATGTGGGCATATCTGCATGTGGGCCTGGATACAGATAGAGGAGCGGTGTCTCTGTTCCTAAGACTATCAAAAATATGTGTTTTCTGATGGTCTTAGGCGACCCCTGTGAAAGGTTGAGAACCGCTGCTGTATACTGTCTACAAGAGACAAACTTTAAAGACAGGTGGAGTGACTACACTGGCCTCATATGAAATAGACATTAAGAAAATAGTTACTAGAGGATAAAAGGACATTTCATAATGGTAAAGGTTCAGCCTGTCAAGATGTTACAATTATAAGCATACCTGAACCTAGCAAGAGAACACATAATACATGAAGCAGAAATGAGAATTGAAGGGAGAGATACACAGTTAAACAATATCCCTATATTATAAAAGAGAGAATATTTCAAATCAATGATGTAAACTTAAAGGAAAGTAGAATAAAATAACAAAGTTATATACAAAGCAAACATAAGGAAGGAAATGAAAAGAAATAGAATGGATGTAAATTAAATAAGGATGAGACTCGTGATAGAGAAAATAATCAAAACCAAAGATAATTCTTTGAAATATTTTAAAAAATTGACAAATCTTTAGTTAGACCAAGGAAAAAAAGAGAAGACTCAAATTACTAAAATATCAAATGAATGACAGAATATCACTACTGACATTAACAAAACCAGAAAACATTATAAGAGAATACTATTAACAACTGTATGTATATCAATAAATTAGATAACCTAGATAAGACAGTTTTTTCTGTGATGTTTGGCTGCAGTAGAACAGCTGTCATTTAAAAGCTTTTGTCTGTAGGCTTCCCCTTTCCTTGTCCTTTTTCCATAGGGAGCATGTTTGTTGTTATTTTTTCTGTACTCGATATTTCCGGGTTGCTTGCTTGTTTGCTCCAATGCTGAGACACATGTGGTAGGTAAGAAACCCCAGGGTACTCACCACAGTGTCATTCCTAGGGTATCGATGTCCCTAGCTGGTCTGTCTTCTTCTCTTTATAATTCAGGTTTTTTTTCTTTGCATATAATCCCCAAGAATTTTAGTTGTGAATAATTAGTTGTGAATTAATTATTAAAAATAGAAAAGTTTAAAGTATAATATATCTATCTTTCTGGAAGCCTAGGCCTCCCTTGGTTTTTAAATATAATGTTAAAACCATCTATTTATTCTGTTGTTTCTGGCTTGTTATATAATCAGAAAACTTATTTTTTAAATTTTATTGTTAGTTTCAGGTGTACAGAACAATGCAATAGTTATCCTTTTCACCCTCACAAAGTAACAACCCCTCTCCCCCATCTACTTCCCTCCCACCCCCGATATCATGTTTATCTATTGCAATTCCATTGACTCCATTCCCACTCTCTACTCCATGTCCCGTGACTATATGTATATAAAATTATAGTTGACATAGCTGATGTTGAATAATAATGTATGTCAACTATAATCAGAAAACTTTTATCAGTAGCATATTATTCGGATTTTCTAAAAATTTTCTTTGTAGCCCTAAACATGTTCATTTTTTGTAAAAAATGATTTTGTAAAAAAAAGATTCACGTATGATTGATAAAATTAGTCACTAGCTGTCATATTTAGGGAATCGCTCTAAATATACATAAGATAAAGTTTGTTTTCTTATTTGTTAAAATATTCTATATTTTTACAATTTTTAAATGTATTTTTAAACCAATGATTTGAGAGTTATATTACAGTGTCATCATCAGATTCTGGGTGAGTTTATTTCTCCTTGGTATTCTGTTCTTAATTTTTCTTTGTGGATTTTAATCTTGGTTGTTAGGTTATAGGTTCTGCAACATCTTAGTTTTTAACTTTTGTTTTAAAAAATTGTTCTTTTTATCATGTACTATACCATAGTATTACTCTCATTAGTACTTTTGCCTGAATATCTATTTTTTCTGATAGCAGTATTTCCCTTACAGATTACTTTTGGTTCATAGTTATCTGTTATATATTTACACATTTTTTTTTTATTCATGGCTTTTGGAGTCATTTAATTTTAGTGTGTTCTTGCACTTTTCATCCTGTTTGATTTTGTACATTTTAGGCAAATTTAATCCAGTAGGGAAAATTTGATATATTTAAACTGATTTGCACAATGCTCGTTGGGTTTTCTACTTGTCATAAATTGTGTTAACTTTATACTTTCTCATTTATGACCTTCCATTCATATCACAATGTATTTTTCTTGTGATAGATTACTTTTCTTTGTAATGGTTAACTCAACATTCTGGCACTGTGTATCAGTCATAAAATAATTAAAGTTATTAAGCATATCTATCTATCTTTCTCACAAGACAGTGACCTTGGCACACTTAAACTATTCAGATATAATACCTCCCATATTCCTTGTTATTGTTTGCAGTTTTCTTTCTAGCTATCAGTTAAACATAAAATACTTTTGCATTGTATTGTCCCTATATTTTTTATAGGAAATCTTGATTTATATGTGTTAACATATGTATTTTATTTTACTAATTTATTTTTAGGACTCCATTCATAAGAGCCCAAGCATCATTTTATTTTATTTACTTTTTAAAATTTATTTATTTATTTATTTATTTATTTTAGCTGAGCCATCCTGCCACCTGTTGGCAGCTCAGCAGCAGCTCAGCTCGGACCAGACTCAAACCGCTGTTGCTCAGAGCTCAAACCTTTGAGTGAGCTCTTAACCAACTGAGCCACTCAGCTGGCCCCTACCATTTTATTTTGATGTCTAGCTTAGGTGCTGGACTTCACATAGGGTGACCCAGGGCTTATCCACCTGAACACTGAGCATCTAACCTCTGCTGGGTTTAGTTCTGGAAGGCAGTAGTTCTGAAAACGGTAGAAAACACCACCACTCACGCCACCTCTCCAAGCATGTGTGTCCTGGTCTAGTTTCTGTTTAGTCTCCTCATTTGTTTTATTATTTTTCATTTTGGTTTGTATTCTTATCATGTTCATAAAAACTTTTTTTTCTTCTGTCATTGGCCTGTGATTGATGGGGTCTTTCTGAAATCACACCATTAAATGGAATTTGAGAAGATTTGTGTGTTTGTGTGTGTGTGGTTAGGTTTTTGGGGTTTTTTTTAAGTATTTTTCATTAGTTTCAGGTGTATGAAACAAAACATAATGATTAGACATTTACACCCCTCACAAAGTGATAACCCCACCAAATCTACTACCCCTCTGGCATCATACATAGCTATTACAATACCATTAACTATGTTCCCTATGCTGTACTTTACATCCTATGAGAATGTGTGTGTGTGTGTGTGTGTGTGTTACCAGGGGTGCCCAAAAATGTATGCACATGACTTATATTCATCTTTTGTTATCAGTATATATTATTACAATTTTAATACAGTTTCCTTTCTTAAAATGTGTATACATTTTTTTGGCACCTTCTGTATGTATGTATGTATGTATATGTGTGTATATATATGTATATACACACATATATATATTTGATATTCAAGATTGTTTTATATTAGTTTCAGGTGTACACTCCAATGGTTAGGCATTTATATAATCTATGAAGTGATCTCCCTTGTAAGTCCAGTACCCATCTGACACCCTATATAATCTTTACAACATTATTGATTATAGTCCCCATATTATATTTCACATCCCCATGACTATTTTGTGATTACCAATTTGTACTTTCTAATCCCTTCACTTTCCCACCATCCCTCAACACCCCTTCCACCTAGTAACCATATTTTTTTCCCCTGTATCCATGAGTCTGTTTCTGTTTGGTTTGCTCATTTATTCTGTTCTTTAGATTCCACATATAAGTGAGATCATATGGTATTTGTCTTTCTCAGTCTGACTTATTTCACTTAGTATAATATCCTGTCTCCATCATGTTGTTGCAAATGGTAAAATTTCCTTCTTTTTTATGGCAA